GTCGGAGGCTGCGAGAAGGGGCATCATTGGGTCTGTCGAAGGAAGAGACAGATGGGGTGGGGCGGGCACTGCCGAGGGCTCTGCCTCTGCCCGTCTCTTAAAGGGTGCCAGTGATTGGGTTGAGGCCCGCCCTGGGTAATGGACCTAATTATGATTGCAAAATGGTCCTGCTTACAGGAACTGAGGGTTAGGACAACATCATCTTTTGGGGGGACACGAGTCAACCTGCAATACTGCACTCTTAAATGGGAGCTCTACAGCCGCAGGACGCTGTGTGCCTGGGGTGGGGGAGGGCAGGGCCCCCGCCTGCCCGCTGGCTTTCTGCACAGAGCCGGCTGGATGGGGAGACACACACCTGTGGGCAGAGGCCGGGATGGAGGAGCCAGGCTCTGGCCGCCGCCGTGGGGGAGGGGAGGCCTGCGGGTGGTGTCCAGGTGGACCACCCAAGGAGGTGTGGGCAAGGCGAGGGGCCATTTCTCCTGGCGGCTATGAACACACATCTCTCCCTACAGCAGTGGTTCTCAACATTCTGGCCCTTTAAATACAGTTCCTCATGTGGTGACCCAACCATAAAATTATTTTCGCTGCTACTTCATAACTATAATGTTGTTACTGTTATGAATTGTCATGTAAGTATCTGATATGCAGGATGGTCTTAGGCGACCCCTGTGAAAGGGTCGTTCGACCGCCAAAGGGGTCGCGACCCACAGGTTGAGAACCGCTGCCCCACAGCATGGTTTAAATCACCCTGACAGGAAAACCCCCCAACTCAAACCTGGGCTGGAGAGGCTTTGTTTTTCTTGCTAATCGATTCCCTTGCTCTTGGCTGGTGGTTAGAAAGGTTTCAACAATTACAGCTAAAAAGCTTGTGAGAAGCTCCTGGGAGACAGCACACGTTGTCTACAGAAGCAGAGCAAGTTAAAGGAGAAGTAACTACTGAATGAGGAAGAGTCTAGACCAGTGATGGCGAACCTATGACACGCGTGTCAGAGGTGACACGCAAACCCATTTTTGGGGTTGATTTTTCTTTGTTAAATGGCATTTAAATATATAAAATAAATATCAAAAATGTAAGTCTTTGTTTTACTATGGTTGCAAAGATCAAAAAATTTCTATATGTGACACGGCACCAGAGTTAAGTTAGGGTTTTTCAAAATGCTGACACGCCGAGCTCAAAAGGTTCGCCATCACTGGGCTAGACTAGTGATGGCACATTCTCAGGGCTTTCCCAGAGCGAGAGTCGTAGAAATGGGCTAGCGTTGTGAGATGGCCACGGTCATGTCGGAACAGGGAGCCCGGGAAGGGTCATAATTATACGTACCTAGGGCTGCCCAGCTGGCATGGCTCAGTGGTTGAGAGTTGACCTATGAACCAGATGGTCGAGGTTCGATTCCTGGGCAGGACACATGGCCAGGTTATGGGCTCGATCCACAGTCGGGTGTGTGCAGGAGGCAGTCAATCGAGGATTCTCTCTCATCATTATGTTTCTCTCTCTCCCTCTCCCTTCTTCTCTGAAATCAATAATAATAGTAAACTTTTTTAAAAAAGTGCCCAGGACTGTGGTCCCATGCTCTGCCCTGCCGTTCCCTGGGAGAACAGTGATGTCCATCTTGACCCGGGACCGGCCCGGAGCAGGTCCTCGCCAGCGGTGAGGTCAGCACCCCAGGGAACCAGATAGGAGTCTGTCTGGTTGCGCAGACTGATAAGAAGTGAGTGGTACCCCGTCTTTCTGGCCCATGGAAATGGCGCACTTGAAGTCACATGTATCCATTGGGCGACCCTGAACTGTGCCTTGTTTTTCCCGAGGTTCCCAGGGACCATTCGTTGCCTGCAGGTCTCAGCGAGGCCGGCTTCCGCAGCCACGCTGACAAAATTGAAACTTCCCCCTGGTCGCGGGAACAATGGACCCAGTGACTGGCCACCCGCGTGCCTGCCGGTGAAAGCTCCCGTGCTATCTGGTAGCACTGCCCTTCACCTTGGGGCCGCGGCCCCGGAGCTGGCCACGCAGACTCTTTTTCTTGGGTCAGACTGGGGTTTCTTAAGGGTGACTCAGACTGGAGATTAGGTCCAGGCAGAGGAGATAACTGTTTCTATCTCGTCTGGTTTCTCCTCTGGAGGAGGAAGTCCCCCTCCTAACTTGGTTCCGACGTCACCTTCCGTGACTTGTCTTTTCACTGGCTCTCTCTCATTCCCCAAGTTTGGGTCCCTGGACCTTTTCATTCTGAGTCTCACCCTCCCAGGCTCACTTCAGGGCGTCTCTGCAGGGGGATCCAGAATCTTAGCACCGGCTTCTTTCCGGGGGACAGGGGAAAGCGGCCCCGCCTGCCTGTTCCTGTCATCTCCGTGCAGAATTTCTGATATCAGATGCACGGTCCGATCTGCTGCTCCCACTCGCTTAGGCTCCTGATGAGCGTGCTTGTCAGGAAAGTTAAGTCCAGCCCAGCTGCGTGGCTCAGTGGTTGAGCATCGACCTAGGAACCAGGAGGTCAGGTTTGATTCCTGATCAGGGCACATGCCCAGGTTTTGGGCTCAATCCCCAGTATTGGGCGTGCAGGAGGCAGCTGATCAATGATTCTCTCTCATCATTAATATTTTGATCTCTCTCTCCCTCTCTTTTCCTCTCTGAAATCAATAAATATATATATTAAAATAAAATAGAAAAGTTAAGTCCCCTGTGCAGCCGTTGTCATTGGTCCACACACTCTCTGGCCATCTCCTTTCCCCTCTCACCACCTCCCTGCCTCAGCTTCCCTCCCAACTGGTCCCCTGGCTTCCATGTCCCCAAATTCTTCATAGCCGCTGACCTGATTCTGTTAACCTCACAACTGCTCATGCCGATGCCAGCAAGTGCCCCAGGCAGAGCTTCCCTCTTCTCTGTTGAATGAAGCGCACTGCTCCTTCCCCTGGGATGAAGGCTGTTTTTGAGACAGATGGGGCTTCCTTAGGGAGTGCGTGGCATTCTCTGCTCCCGTCCTGTTTGAGGTCTAATGAGTGTGATCTTGCTGTTCACTCTCCGGCCTTTCTGGAGACCCTGTTCCTGGGCCCGGCCCTCCTCCTCCTCCTCGCACCTGTTGTACCACCAACCTTCAAGGCTTATTGCAACAGCCACCTCCTGCCTCCCCCTTGCTGAGACCTCGCACACTCTGAGGCTTCGTGTGTAGCATCAGCACAGAGAGATACTCAGATGTGACCTTGTGCATCCCCTGTAAGCTCCCGGAGCCCCTGGGACAGGCCCTGGGCCCGGGGATGCCTGGTGTGCTTTCCTAAGCTGCCCGGGGGCCAAGGCTGTCTGCCTGCTCAGTGGCCCAGGGTCCCAGCCCGGCAGGCCCATCCCAGCCTTGCTTTCTCAGTTCCTCTTTTTAAATCAGACACAGGCAATAGATTTGGCACAGAAAGATCTACCCTGCTTCCCCACCCCCCACTGATTTTAAATTTTGTCGGAGGCAAAAGCAAATATCCAAGGTTCAGGTCAACGCCAATTTGAAAGCATTTCTGCCAGTTGGAAAAGAAAACTTTGAAAAAGACATTTGACTTTTTTTTTTTTTTTAACTTGGGAAAAATTTGAAAGGTATAGCCTTTCAAGGAAACAGGATACTTAAAGAAAAAAAAAAAGAAAGAAAGAAAAGAAAAAAAAACCCAGCCTGGCTGCATGCAGTTGAGCCCTGTCAAGCTCAGCTAATCTCCTGTGACAGAGCAGCAGACCTAGCAGAGCAGGGGGAACAATGGCTGGAATTTATCTCCACCGGCTTCATCATTCCTGGGTCCCACTCAATGTGATTATCATTAAACCGATTGAAAGGAGTGAGTGAGTGTGTGTGCGTGTGTGTGTGTGTGTGTGTGTGAGAGAGAGAGAGAGAGAGAGGGAGAATGCACTCTCACACAGCTGGGAGACAGAAGTGGTCTCCCTAGGGGTCAGCCTTGAGTGCAGTGGCCCTGAACAGTGGCCTGACTGGGCCAGATGACAGCAAAGAGAACATATGCAAAGTCAGCAGTAATGTCAGTGGGGGTGTAGAGGAATCATCAGCAAGAACAGTCGCCTTGGCCATTACTTGAGTGAGCAGCAGAGGTACGCAGGCTCAACGGCAAGAGAGCTCAGGTTTGGGGAGAACGATGACCATCCACCCAGCGTTAGACCGAGACTGTGATGCGGAGGGAGAGAACTACAGCGCGGCGGAGGCCTGGAATCCTACCCCTGCATTCACTGTATCCCCTTCCAACTGCACGGCCAGGGAAGTTGGACAACGTTCAAAGGAGAGCCATGGATGTAATTAAACTAGGCTGGGACGTGGGAATTGAATTCTACACAAAAGGGAAATGAATTGGGTTTATGGAACTCAGAGATGGACAACCTTACAAGGGCAGCAACAAATAAAAATAGCAATAGCTTAAATGACAACACGGGAGAATTAAAATTAAACGTAGGGAAGTTTCCTTAGTCCTGCGATGGAGAAATGGGTCGCTTGAGTAGAATGGATTTCTCCAGGGTGGTTGGCAGGTGCTGGCTGATGCAGGCAATCCTGAGTCGCCTCGGACACGTCTCCGCCCACAGTTCTGAGGCCACTTTAAATACTTCTTTAAACTCAAGATGGAAATGAAGAGGCAGCCTGGTGCTTCTGTTGTCTCAGTGGCCTGGGGCTTGGTTATCTTTGATAAAGATAACATGAAGCCACTCCTTACAGACCAGCGATGGGGACAGGCACCATGCAGGACTGTCCTGTGTGGACACAGAGCAGATTTGATCTGTGCAGGGCAGGCCGACTCAGAGGGAATGGGCTTCTTTTTCTTTTCCCACTTTTAGCATAAACAAGGCCCTGATAAGGGATCTAATCTAAGCAATGGTACCAGTGGAGATTGGAGTGAATGGCACCCTAAGCTGTTCATGTCTGTTCCCGACACCATCCCATTCAAACTTTTTTCTTAAGGCGTGATATGGTAGAGAAAAAAAGAACACGATTTTCCCTACGACATTGCTGATAACTAATAAACCACACACTCAGTTGTATGTAAGTTAATTCTTTAAATTTAATCAGTCCTTTATAAAACTTCCCAATTAATTAGTAAAAGATGGCTTATTTTAATAGCCTTAAACATTGGTTGCTATTTAAACAAGACATTCTAAAAAAAAAAAAGGCAATCACATAATAGTTTATAGTCATTTACAAGTGGATGGTATACATTTAGATACAGAGGTAGAAGTTCACTTTTACAACGTCTCACTAATACACATTTACCAAATTCAAGGCACAAAATAGTTTGCTTTACAAAAAAATACTGTAAAAATGTCATTTGCTGTTGTACAAGGTGAATAAAAATTTCAAAAGAATCTTTACAGCCTTCCATATGTACTCCATAGTGTAAGATTTCCCCCCCCCCACCCCCACTATTCATAGTTGGCACAAAAATGGGGATTTTTTTTAAATTTAGAAGTCCCCATTTTTAGAAAAGTTCTCTTTGCTGATCTGCTATGTGTTCTAGATAAAAGTCCACCCAAAGAAAGGAAACAGCAACTTCCTGAGGAAAGGGCACGTTCTGTATGCAGCAGAATTCATAGGTAGGAAATGCATGATCTTTTTGGGATAATTCGGTCCCCAGTGATAGGTACTTCAGGAAAGGTTTCAGGAGAAAGTTTAAAAATCCAGCTAACACTTCAGTCGTTGTGACCTTAAGAAAGAGACCTGATTATCTTACCGAAAAAATCAAACATCACTTGATTCAAACTGATGGAGATTTCAAAATTCCTTTTTAGAAGAGCTATATAAACACCACGAGAGGCTGCACAGGCTGTGCAAAACGGAAACTGAAGAAACGGGAGAAAACATCGCACTATCGGTCCTTGGAGTTGCAAGGGAGTCAACTGACTAGAGTTTAATGACAAGAATTAATGAACGCTATGGGAATTAAGAAAAACCACACACATGAAACACACTGTAGTTATCATCTCTAGACGTTCTGCTCATTAAAAAAAGTCACGGGAGCCTGGAGACGCCACACAGTGCTTGTCTGAAAGAACTGACTGGTTTTAGGGTTCTGCCTAAAAGGGACCCCACTGGCAACACTCGACCTCACTTTTGCTGATCGCGTTTTTCCAAGTACTCTAGTCGGTTAATTTACACTTTATTTTTTAAAAAGTTGATTAATAAAAAAAAAAAGTCCACTCGAATTCAGAATCCCGAGAATGTCCGTGACGCTGATGTGGTGAACGGAAACATCTTGCTCGTCTTCCGAGGGAAACAGCGCTCCACCCAGAAAAGATCCTCAGATGCCGTTTTTCGCCTCATTATTGTTTGTGGCTTGTTTCCTCTGAGCGATAAAGGGGTACATACACTTGTCCGCTCCGAGGAACCGATACATGCACACGACTGCTTCGAAAGGGAGGATGCTGCAAGGGAAAGCCACAGCGGTTAGCCAACGCGAGCCGTGCGCTCAGGCAGGGCGGGCTGGGGGGGTGGGGGGACGGTGCCCGGGAGGGACCCGTTACCTCTTCATGAAGGTCACGATGTACATGAGGCGGGGCGTGCAGATCATGGGCTGGTCGGTGAGGATGGCCCGCATGGCCTGCTGCACACAGTAGTCGGGCTTCAGGGGGGGCAGGAACGGCTCGATCTCCTTCCTGAAAGTTATGTGGTTAAAACGCAATGAAAGGGAGCACACAACAGGCAAGCCTGCGCTTCACAACATGAACAGCGATGTTATCTGAGCGACAAGATTTTGCCTCAGTTTTCACTTCATTTTGCTTTTCTGTTTTTTTTTCCTAAATGTTCCTACTATGAACAGGCAGAGTCTGGAAAACAAGTTTAAAAAAGAGGGCAAAATTGGTTTGCTTTCTCTACAGTGAGTCAAGTTTAAATGCCTTAAATTATTTTTTTCTTTCAACATAAAAAGCAGAGGGTGTTTGGCATAGCAAACACTGAGCCCAAATGAGATGCCGGAGTGGTGTGCAGGGCAGGGCAGGTAGTGGCGTGTGAGCCCTGCGCAGCCTTCGGGAGGCAGCAGGAGCCCTTCCTGGGCGCTGGCCGGGAAGCCAGGTATGTTCTCCAGGGCTCACTGACATGACACGCATTGACTGTGACCTTCAGCTGAGTTCAGCATGGCACATGTTGAAATAGCCTGCTGAAACGCGTTACTCCTTTCACTTTCCTTTGTCCCACCACAGCTCTGGACACCTGGCCTGATGCTAAATAGGAAGCAGAGCTCCTCAGACCCTGAGCAGCTGATTCCTAACAAATAAGGAGGGAAAACCACACGCACACGCACGCGCGGGGAAGGTCAGCCTGAGACTGCAAGGACTGAAGTCACCTTCCACCTGCCTCCCTGCTTGGTCAGGTTCAGGATGTGACCAACAGGGAACGCGCTGGGTTATCTCCTTTGCCTTTCAAATGCATCCAACAGAGGTCTCAAGCACGTCATCGCAGGTACCCTCTTACTGACTCGCGGGGTTTATGCTGCTTAGCAAAGTCAGATGAGACTTCACATCTAGACTCCCACGTGCCTCCTTTCATTCCTAGTAAACCGAATCGTTTCTTCTCATTCTGGAGTGAATCTGGCTACATACACTCTCTGCAGAAAGGGCCTCCCAAGCCTGGAGAGTAACTCCCCTGACACTGACATTCCCACACGGTACTAAGGAAGTAAACACCTCCTGAAGAGGGGGCCTCCAGTGCACTCCTGGGAGCTGCGTCTCCTCCATGAAGGCCCGGAGAAGCCGTGTTCTGACGCTTCTAGATGGACGTCTGCTGGGTGACAGTGTGGCACAAGACCCGCCTGTTCATCTCATTCACCTCAAAGCCTCTGACCAGTGGAAATTATAGGTTAACTGTCAAATGAGTGTCCAAGTGCAAGCTGACGTCTAGGATCCAATTTCACGTTTTCCCGATATGGAAAGATGATTTTTAAAACACTTTTTAACAGCAGTAAGATAGGTTCAGACGGACCTGATCCGGCAGCCTCGGAACATGCCAGTGTCTACCAGGTATGGGCACACCAGTGTTGTCTTAATTCCGTCCTTCTCAGCAGCCTTTAACTCGTGGCTCAGGGATTCGTGGAAACCCACGACTCCGAATTTACTGGCACAGTAATCCTGTTAGAGGGAGAGAGGAGGGCAAGAGCTGAGTACACTGAAGCCCCAGACCAAACCCAGCCTTCTCCCGGGCCTATTACTCTGGTTACATGTTTGCTACAAAAGGTTACAGGTGACTAAGCAAAGAAAAGGAAAGCATTTTAAAAGACAGATATCTGATGTGGTTCAGTGCAGAAATAATATTTTCAAAGCAACAGCAAAAACACATGAACACTTTCTGCCACATCAATGAAGTATCAGATTACTTGGGGGAAGTTACCACAAAGGAGTCTAGGAGAGCCAGCGAACTGGAGTTAGAAATGGAGAGAGGTTCACTTTGAAGTGTCTGGAAATTTTACAAATGGCCTCTTGTTCCCCAAAGGAAACTGAGAAACAGTTAAATTAATGCTAGGAGAACAGAGGTGAGTCTAGCTTAGGTTATAAGTTGTTATGACCTGATTTTCTTTTTCGGGTGAAGTACAAGTAAAAAATGATAACTATACCTGTGAACTTAAACTAGAACTCAGCCTAAGGAAACATGGTATAAGAAGAAAGTTCTCCACTACCCAACATTAAACTTGGGAATGGCCACGCAGAATGCAGAAGTCGTCTAGTCTGTGCCCATCTGGGTGGGGCGATGCGTTCAGTGTTAACCCTACAGGCACCCACAAGAGAACCGCTTTCTGGTTTGAATGTGGTGTGAAGGCCGGTTCCACACACCAAGGCAGGACCCCTCACATCTGCCATAACCATCTCATCTGACGAGCTGACACAGACAGGTAGCTCACTTCGGTCAACCTTGGGCCTCACTTATCTGCCCCCCGTGACACTGCCCCTGCCCTCCACGGCTTTGTTCTTGAACCTGTGCCTTCCACCATCATCAAACAAAAAACTGCTAGCGGGCACGGGGCACACAGAGGACTGGCCCAGCGCCTTCCCTTCCCGCTGCTCCCCGTCACACTAGCTGGCCCTGGGACACCAGGCGGAGGGCAGCAGGTACTCTTCTTAGGATGTGGGGGTACCCGTCACCAGAGAATGCGATTCAATGAAGGAAATGCTTCCCATCTGACAAACCTCGACTCCGGCGGTACTGAACAGCCCCAAGGAACTCGCGACTGTCACGATATGACCGTGATTGATCTCCAGCATCGTGGGAAGAAAAGCCTTCGTGGTCTGAAAGAAAAGGGAGACACAGGCTTCAGAACGGACATGAGCAGCTTCCTCTAAAACCCAACCCAACAGCATGGAACAGAGTTCACACTGACCAACAAGAAGATCCCTTCAGAGTCGGGGTAACCTCATACCGTGTCACTGGCGTGGCGGGCCTGTTATAAGCCGTGACCAACAAGACCGTGACCCAAGACCCTTTGGGGACAGTGTCCAGATGAAAAGAAAGCCGTTCGGATAAGGCTCTCTGTCACCTTTCAAGTGAGTGTTGTCTGCTGATCTGAACGACCCCCAGGTCAGAGTCTACTTATGCGCAGGACACCTAAGTGCGGCTCTCGTGGTCTGGAAGGGCCTCCAGCCGCCCACAAACAGATGCCTTGTGTTAAGTTTACCTAGTGGACACATCTAAGCAGTGACAAACCATGAATGCAGGGGTGTCCCAGCAATCTTCCCGCACGCAAAGATTTACTGCCAAGTGTGCTAACAGGAGGTGAAGTATTTTCGTATGTAAGAACCGGGGAAAAGTATAGAATCATTTTAATGGAAACTGTCATAATGCTAACCCTGCATTGACAAAAAGTTCTCACTGACAGCACTGCACTGGTGAATGTGCAGGGGGGTGGCTTTCCCACGGAGGCAGATGACGGCCACTCAGGTAGCAGAGCACGAGGCTCCAATTCCAGGAAGGGGCCTCAATGAAGTCTCTTCTCCTTCAGGCTCTATTGCCTTTGAGATGCAAGGCTGTATTTTTTTTTTTTTTACATTACTTCAAATTGCTTAAGATGATCTATGAACTACTCTACCAGGCTCCCAACAGTTTTATAACCTGCTTCTTAAAAGAAAGCAGCAAAGAGCAATCTGTCTACTGTTGAGTTATAGCCCATTGCCAACACAGCTTCCCATGATTTATGAAGTTAAAAAACCCAAACGCTGCACACAATGGACTTTAAGAAGAGCTGCATTCCCTTCTCAGAGGAGTTTCTGGCTAAGTGATCGCTGAATTTCTGCATAAATATCTAATGTGTTATCAAAGCTTTTGCACGTCCAAGATCAAAAACAGTCATTCCATCATTTCCAAACCATGATGCAGTTGGCCAGATGGATCTTGGTGACATGTCCTAAGGTTTTCCTGAGTCTGACTCTGGACCGGCATGTGACACCCCTCGCCCCCAACTCAGACTCCATCTGTCTGGGCCTCCACTGTTGTCGCCCATGTCATGCTTATTCTCACCTGTCAGGTTTCACCCAAGGCCTCTTCTCTGACACTCCACCTCCCGGGCCTCCTACGTACCTCAGAGCATACTATGCATCACAGTCCCTTCTGCTTCAAAGTGCTCATGTCACTGGGGCTTCCCAGGACCTCTCTATCGAAAGTAGTTGGGGTGTTAAGCCTTTACCTAATATTATTCTGTTCACCTTGACTTTGTCCATATTTCTTTAAGACACATAGTAGGTACCACTCAACCGTAACATCTGTTGTATGGTATCTTGGTTTTGATTAATATGTCTAGCTAGCCCAGACTAGGCGGGAAGATACAGGTACTTTCAGCGATGAAGGGAGATTCCCACGCGGTGACAAGCACTGGGGAGAAAGTGACGGGACTCCTTGTGTGCCTACAGACCCGCCGCAGGGCTGGGCGTGACAGCCCATGCTTCAGCTTGCCTTTATTTCTTCTTTGTAG